TAGTGTCTCTGCATTGCTGTCTTCCTTTACACAAACAGAAATACTTTATGTCCCATGAGCCCTCTCTGAGGCTGACAGCTATATAATGATTTGAAGTTTAAGCATTATTTATTATGCTCCATGTATGACGAAGCCACACAAAATTCAATTCTGAGCTAACACAATCACCTGTCAAAGGGTAAACATCATGGAAAAAACTTACAAACAACTGTAAATGAGGGCTTGCAAATCTAGGGGGCATCTCAACCTCACTGTTGTTACATCAGTGCAGCAAAATAGAGCTCGAGTTACCATTGGGTCTTGGTAACTTTCCATGCGTAGGTACCATGGTGAACACAAGATAACAAAGTTTACACATAAACCTTCTCAGTGCAGACCCAGGATGTGGTTCTTCTGCAGCATAAAATCAGAATCAATCCAGAGACTCACTAGTGCTGAGAAAGAAGGTACCATCTCTAACTAGCCAGTGTTTCAGAGTCCTGGAAAGCAGTCATCAATCAGGTACCAAAGCCCAAAGACAGTTTCATTAACTAGTTTAGCAAAACCACTGACAACAGAGCTGTAAGATGAGATGGCAGACCTTCTAGAATACTTACTCCCTCCCGGTTTCCTCCCTGTAGTATGTTTCTAATAGATTTCATCCTATGAAATTATAAACAAGTCTATTTCCATGAGGCTATTTCACTTTCTCACTACATGAAGTACTCTCCATTTTTATAAGGATGAAAGCTGCTATGAATAGCAAGTAATGTGATCTTTTCATACAGATCAAATAAAATCACAAACATAACACTAACAAAAGCAAGCAGAAAACAGACTCAAAACAAGCAAGATGTACACATGAATGAAAGACAAAAAAACACCCATGAAATTTTTATGAAATGGAGTAGAGGTAGCATCTAGAATAGAAGAGGTAGCATCTAGATTTTCCTTGATTGTCAGGTACCCATTGCTGGACAGTTTTCACAACCCTGTCTGGTGTATTGGAAAGGTATCTCAGTGAAAAATAGTTCCATGTAATACTATTTCTGAGTAAATAACACCTAGCCCATTGTTTTAGTGTTAAAGAATCAACAGGATGTGTTTGGAGTAAGTAGTATACCACAGGTCCCAATGCAGCAAGTAAAATGCTATTTCCTCATTCAACCCACTGCATCTCATTTTCATAGTCGGGAATCTGGGTAATTCTCCACCTTGCAGGAACCACCATAGACTACTTGTACATTTGATCTATTATCCAAACTTTCCCTCTCATCTGGTGCAAAACACCCATAGGTATTTTCAGTGAATCATCTGGCTGGAGGGAAGACACCACTATGATTAAGGAGCTAATATGGCTGCATGCACTGGGGGAGATTCCAATTACACAATTATCATCTTCAGAGAAGGATCAGAATAACCTCTAAGAAGCCACATCTCATACTAACAAAGAAAAAACACGAGCTCCACAATTCCTTGATAAGCAAAGGGAGCACAGTATACATTTGGGAGTGCAGCAAGAAGAGGTGGAATGAGGAAGAAGTCCTCTGGAAATTCTGGATCACATCTCCCTGTGGTAGTCAGACACCAGGCACAAGACAGAAGACATCTATGAAGTTAAAGAATTTTGCAACCAAAAGACTGTGGTTTCCACAGCTGCATTTCAATCACAGAATGGGCAAGAGGGAGAGAAAAGCATACAAGGCAGCTGTCAAGATTCTAGGAAATAAGGGAAAATAAGAGTTTTTCCTGTGTATTTTCATCATGATAAACAGATTAGGACATGAGTGCTCCTTCCCAATACAGCCCCAAACTAAACTCTGACTATATTTCAGTATTAACTACTGGTATGCAAGATTTTGCTTCCAGCATCTTCCAAGTGCTAGAAGACTGACAGTTATATTAGGTTATTCACATAAGGCCAGCAGAAGCTTTCTCAGGTACTTAAAAGAGCTGATTTACAGCAATTATCCCAAATAACAAATGTGGACCTAACCCTTCCCTTTCACAAAGGGGCTGTTCATCTCTAATTAGCAGTTCTCCTACTTAATCAGAATGTCTGGATTAGTCCATACTGTTTCTCTTTATTAATCAGGAAGATGTGTTATAACAAAGGGACCTCCTTCTCTGAAAATATAATAAGGGAAGCTGGCTCTTCAAACACCTGAAGTTAGCACTACCTTTTCCAATTATGAAAAAAAATTCCTCTTTTTTCACTTGAGCAAGCAGATTTTCCTAGTTTATTTGATAAACTACAGCTGTCACACCTTCCCGGCAGACAGAAACCCGCTGGAGAAGTCATGACAGTCTGGTGAAGTTCCTGCTGACTGGAAAAGGAGAACTAATAACCCCCTTAAAAAAAAAAAAAAAAAACCACAACAAAAAAACACAACAAAACACCAAACCCCCCCCCCCTCCCCCCATGCAAAAAAAAAACAAACAGGAAAAAGGAAGATCCAGGGAATCAGAGGCCAGTCAGTCTCACATTGTTGCCTGGCAAGATCATGGAGCAGGTCCTCCTGGAAACTATGCTAAGGCACATGGAAAACAGAAAGGTGGTTGGTGACAGCCAACATGGGCTGTCACCATGTTCACTAAGGGCAAATTGTGCCCAACAAATCTGGTGATCTTCTATGATAGGCCAGAGCAACTGTTTAGAACCAGAGAGAGAGCAAGAATGAGTCAATACCAAAAAGCCAAAATTAAAGAATAATGAACTATTCTTTTAATGCTGACAGAATACTTACAGCTTCAGCAGATCAACAGTTATTTGTTTAGAAAAAGTGTAAAAAGTGTAAAAATTTGTTTAGAAAAAGTGTAGGAAAACCTAATATCACAGTTTCAATGCATAGAGACATAACCCACAGCAAAGCAAACAGTGGCGCAGCCTGTCCTTTAGCTCACGTTTCCTTAATTACCTAGGCCCATTACCATTCAACACTGTTTGTAAAGAGCTACAGAGCTCTCACACCTGAACATTACCAATATATGCATTCTTCAATATCCAAGAGAGCTGAAATCACCTAAGAGCCTCAGGGCTTTTCTGCAGAAGAATGCTTTCTGAAAGAGATACACAGTTAACACAGTTCTATTTGTGCCAGTAAAGCCCCCATGCGGGCACAAATTCTGAGAACACAATGCTTTTTTCCCTTGCAGACAAATCTCCAGTAGCATTTGAGTAATTCACTTGAAATCTTAACATCAAAGAAGCTAATACGCCCAAGTGACTGTACTTTGGCACTTTTGCTCAAGCCAATAGGAACAAAATGCAGACGTGGTGAACACTGTTGCATCTGTAGTTCCTGATACGACTTCACTACAAAGAACTTGTACAGAGAACAAAAAGTCAGTTCCTTGCAACCAAGAATTTAATTAATAAAAGGGGAAAGAGATGCACATGGATGTTGGCATAAGGCAGACAGGACAACAAAAGATGTGGAGCTTGGGAAAGAAATAATCCATAAAAATGAACCAAAAGGCCACATTCTTATGCAAAATGAGATTTCCTGTTCCCATCCCGTTTTTTTGGTCTCCTTTGACAGGACACCCTTGACAGATTGTCTGACCTGACAATGGAAAGGTGAAAGCACAGTATAAGCAGTCGCTCCTGCTTGTGCTATCCGCCAAAACCCCAAGAGCAGGCTGACCTTCATTCCCACTGCCAGAAACATGAGGTCAATATTAACGTTTAAAAAGGTTGTCCTGAGCTCAGCAACATTTATTTTAAAGCTATGGAAAGGAAACTTTCCAAAGCTGGAAGGAGGAAATAGAAAGGTCTTTCCGCAGCTGCAAGAACTACCTTACAAGCCTTTCAATTGCAGCAGGATGAGCTAATAAAGCTGGCCGTTAAACCCTAGAGGTTCAGTGTTCAAATTCTGCTTAAAGTTCGCAAATGAAATGAATATCTTATGCTTACTAAGTACTCAGAGGAATCAAGCCACATCAGAAAATGACTATACTATTTGACTAGACTCATTGAAAATGCATTGGAGACAGGCAGCAGTCTGTTGGCAGAACATTCTCCAAAACCTTGCCTCCTAGTGTCCCACTAGCAGTGTTAGTTGCCTGCTTTTGTAAGATGCATTTTTAAAAGAGGCTTCCTGATCAATGCTAGTACCAAGTTTTCAATGTGTACTACTAGACTCATTCAACTTATTCAACTCATTCACTTATTCAACTCATTCAACTTAACATACAAAATATGCATATAGTTATACTTTTCAATTAAAGCATATACTTTAGCTATTAGCCTTTAAACAGCTTTCTACTGGGTATCACAGAATCAGAATGGTTATACACAAGCCTGTCCTACTACTACTCAGTAACGTGAACAGCCACCTAGGAAATTATTTTCTCTAGCTCAGTTATCTCAAGCAGCAAACTTCATAAGCTTTTTCACAGAAAGCCTTGCCTCACTTTTAAAAATTAAATACAATGTCCAAAAAACATAAACTAGATCCAGGAATTAAAAATTCCTAGCGCAAATTTCTCATAAACCCTTCACACAGTGGAGCCCAAAGGGAAACAGAGGAATGATTAATCTTCAGAACCAGAAAGTATTGTTAGTTTAAATCTTGATTTTTCTGTACAAATTATTTCAGTATAAAACTAACTGAAGCAGGGGTAACTCACTGGGTTATCTGTAAAATAGCACCTTGACTGAATTATTGGCACATCTGTGTACAGAACATCCCAGGCGTAGCTAACTTCGAGATGCCACTCAAAGGCAACAGCTTGGCCACCACTACCGCATCACTGACCATCACTGGACAGTGAATGGAAGGAAGCAGAAGTTTGTCTATGGTCCACTGTCCAATCAGAAAAACGTCCTACAATAGCTTACTTCTAATAAAATTTTTCTACAATGGGCTCCACATACTACTTTATTCCTACAGAGAACTGGCAACGCATAATACAGTCAAAAGACACAAAATACAGCCAAAATTCTCCAGTTTCTGATGCAATGGATTGCTCTAATTCATAAAAATTACTCTGTGACTGTAGAAAAGCCAAGCTCCTACCTGATTTGCAAGTCCTGCCATCGTCTTCCAGCTGCACACCAGTGGGGCAGGCACAGCTGTAGAAGGGGTCTCTTGGAGAGAGCAGGCACAGATGGGAGCAACCACCATTGTTTTCTTCACATGGAGTGTGAACTGCAAGAAACCAAACACATTTATTTTCATATTTCTAGAACCATTAAAGCCCTCTTTTCTCCATGAGAAAGAATGTATAGATTCAAAATGAATGGCACAACAAGCAGAGGAACCACAATATAAAGTGTTTGATTCTCTCCTGTTCAGCATCTCACTTGTAGGGACACCTAAATTGAGATGCACACAAGAGCTGATTTTGAAAGAGCTGACAGCTCAGCACATTCACACTATGCAGTTCTTTCAATGTTTCTAAAGCTGAAACAGCTAACAGCTTTGGACTTCAATTACTTTGTGGATGCTGCATCTGCTAAGTATCATGAAAATGGAAAACAGGGCTTGAAGGATGGTGATGGTGGTGGGGGTGACCAGTTCTAGGAAAGAAAGGAAAATACAACAATTTGTACAATTCCTACATTACAGTTGTGGTGCATGTTGGAAATACCTTGGAAATCTTTTTCAAAAGCTTTCACAGCAAGACAAGTCCCTGAATCATCAGGAAGTACAGAACAGCAACATGTAAAGTCCTCAATTTTGAAAATATTAAAAAAAAAAAAATCGGAGGGGAGGCAGGCAGGGACAGGATGGGGACAGACACGAGAACTGCATGTACCTACCTCATTTATATGGGGGAAAAATGGCAGCAAGAGATCAAACTCTAGCCACAAATAATTATGGACAATATTGTCAGCTATTAAAGAAAAAAACCCTGCAAGTTGTGCAAGATCTGTCAGTCATAGTTTGAATAAGCATCTGAACTGCTTTAATATAAAACTACAAAATTTCCAGCTAATTTGGCTTGTCTTACTTCCACTGACAGTCACAAAGAGGGAAAAAAAGGGAGAGGAAGAAATCCAAGCCTGATCTTAATGAAGTCAATGGCATCTGAGCTATTTTCAGCATATGCCATTTCCCTATACACCATATTTTCTTTGTGACTGACCCAGAAATACGACGACCCAAGGCTGGGACATTCCCTGAGCTAAAAGCAATGCCAGGAATTCAGCACAGACAAACTCTTATCTGGAGCTGTGAGATAAACCAGGGTGCTGTGCATACCTGACAACCTCAATGAAAACTTGCACATGTTCCATCACCAAGATGATCTCCAAACTTCTTTTGTTTACTTTCAGTCCTGTTTACTGACATCTTATAAACTCTACTGGAATAGCAAACATTATCTTCAGGGAAGCAGACTTTACTGGCATAAATAAATAGCTGGCATAAATAAAGCAGCAAATCCAAAGTACAATCCTAGGCAAGAGGTGATTCTTCCCATAGCTACTCAATTATATATGTTTCCACCACTGCTTTCAAGTCCCATTCTCACAATACTGAAAAAGACCCACCTGGACTAACATAGCTACATGCAGCCAAAAAAAAAATCTTAGGCCGCATAGTATCACATGCATATACAAAATATATACCACATCATGCAATTTTCAGTTCTCTTCACCTGCCTTCCTCTGAGGTAGCATCACACACAAAGGAAAAATAGAGGCAGGTATATGTTTCATATAAGAGCTCAGATTTAAGTCCCTTCCATACTGAAGCATTCATCACCTATTTGTTACATATTGAAGATAAACATGATCAAGTCTGGAATGCAAAATCTGTATCTGTAAGTACAGGAACATTACATATTTTGGGGTAATTCTACTTATTAAAAAAAAAGCAATGATACGCATTTTTTTCCAGTTGTCTTTAAAATAATAGTGTTAAAAAGATGCCAGCTGAGGTTTTATCATTTTCATTCTAGTATTTCAAATCACAAGATGTCACTGAAGTACAGCACTGGATTTTGAATTTTGTTATCCCAAGTGGGATGATGATTGAGCTCATATCAATTCATGTTGGAATTTTCAAAGAAAGGTACAGGATTCAGGTACTTACATACCTTTAGAAACCAATCTCCTGAAGGGTATGCAAAACCCCATGACTTCACACTAACCATTTTGTGATTAACATTTATCCTAATAAATAAGTAACAGTCACGCAAAAAGTTTCAGGGGAAGTAAAACATACAGTATGGCTGCCGGTCTGGGCTTAAAACCTGGATGTCCATTGGTGAATATAGGGAAGACAGTATTTCTCTCCTTTTCTCTCCTGTCCTTTTGTTACAGGCATGAATGGAGCGTGTTTGCCAGTCTGTCCAATACAAAGTGTCCCCAGATAACGTCAGTGCAAAGGGATGAGTAAGACTACCTTCGACAACTTTTTGCCTGGATCAAAGAAAAAACAAGGATTAAAAATGCATTGATTCCACGTGTTACCATGCAGAAAAAAAAACAAACCAAACTAGCTTTGTAAAAACTCACAGGAATTGGATTTTTTTTTTAACAGATTCACTGGACCAAGAGATTAATCTGGTGATAAATGATAAACAGACTTTAAAATATAAAACAAGATTTTGCTCCTTCATAAAATTAAAGACAAGAGCATACTCTATTTCATAGTGATGTGATACCTGGTCAGTTCCATAATGACCCCTGAAAGACCACACCTAAGCTCCTTAACAAGGCTGTGCAAATACCCAAACACAATTGCCTTTCAGAGTCCTACATTCAACATAAGTAGGATGTAACGTGTTGGAGCAAGTCCAGAGGAGATCACAAAGATGCTCTGAGGCCTGGAGCAGCTCTGCTCTGGAGACATGCTGAGAGAGCTGGGCTTGTTCAGCCTGGAGAAGAGAAGACTCCAGGGAGACCTTAGAGCAACTTCCAGCCCCTAAAGGGGCTGGCAAGAAAGCTGAAGAGGGGCTTTTGGCAAGGGCCTGTAGTGATAGGACAAGGGGGAATGGCTTTAAACTGACAGAGGGGAGATTGAGATCTTAGGCAGAAATTCTTCCCTGTGAAGGTGGTGAGGCGCTGGCACAGGTTGCCCAGAGAAGCTGTGGCTGCCCCATCCCTGGCAGTGCTCAAGGCCAGGCTGGACAAGGCTTGGAGCAACCTGGTCTAGTAGAAGGTGTCCCTGCCTGTGCCAGTGGGTTGGAACTGGATGAGCTTTAAGGTCCCTTCCAACCTAAGCCAGTCTGGGATTCTACAATCTGGAGGAAACATAGGTCCGAAGAGTGCTCCTCCTATTAAAACATTAGTTTTTTTTGTCCCCCTATTCAACAGATGATATTTTCTCCAGAACTTCAGTTGTACTCAGGCCTTTGTTGCAGCAGAAAAAAGAAGAAATGACCTGGGAGTCTCTTTAAATTACCCCTCTTAACTTGGTCAGCAGCAGATTTAAATGTAGAGCAGTGGCTGTATTCTAGTATCATAGCAGCTGTTTTCCAGAATACATTGCCCCTATTTCCACCATTCTTAGATATCAAATCTCCCCTTCTGTAATTACATCCCTTGAAACAGTTCCAGCCTATGTGCTTGCGAATTGATGGGTGCTAAGATGTAACCGGCAGGTTGCTCCAGCAACATTCATTCACCATGCAGAAGGCAAATTTCATTTTTATTGTAATTCTGAAGGAATTCTGAAGTGATTCTGTGACAAGGGATGGTAGAAGCCTTTGAAACACTGTAAGGTTTCTTTATTGGCAAGTCTGGGTGAAACCAATTTAGGAAACTTAAACTCTGTGTTTAAGGAACAGAAGCAACCTCCATAGTTATCATCTAGTTTGAACCAGTATTGAAGTCTACCTAAACACCAGAACCTGTAAGTCCCAACTTCACAGACTTTTGTTTCAACGCTTATCAGTAGAAGGCAAAAAAGAATAAAAATTTCCTTTTAGAAAAGAGTTAAAATTAAGATCAATATTCATGGCATTTTATTAATAAGCATAACATTTTAAGAAGGAAGTTTTATCATATTGTAACAATATGAAATATACACAGCTAAATGACATCAAGGTATTATATTGCACAATGCAGTTAGACCCAAGGAATTACCAGAATGCATCCAGCATAGGAATATCCTTAAGCATGCATTTACAATCTCCAGGAGTTAAGTAAAAGATGTAAGAAGTGTACAACATTGAGCCTTTTTTTTTTTTTAAATGAAAAATACACTATTTTTTTCTAAAATATTGTTCCATTTACAGTTCAATAAAAAACTGCTTGGGAGGTGGTGGACATGCACTGATCTATCACAAAGCAATTTGGACAGATTCCTGAAATTGGTGTATTCAAAAGCTCGCTTCCTTTTGGGTGGCCCTTCTCTACTTTAAAATGAGCAAAATAGATGTTATTAACCAACTGCAACTGTTCACACATTAATGCAAGTAAAGTTTACACAATTTGTATGTGCATGATAACTGCAGAATCAGTGTGGAAACTTTACTTGCTGCCACTTACCCCCACATCAGAGAAATATATTCATGTTCTGTTGTATGAAAATCTCTCTTAGATTTTGAATTTTGAAAGAGCACTTTCTTTCTATGAACTTGCAGCCAGCCTTTGAGCTACTGCTCCCTTCTATAAAGGCCTTTTCCCTTGTCTAGACTTCTGTCAATCAGTACTTGTCACTTACTACAATGCAACCATTATCCAGCTCTTACACAGTGCTCTCAAAGGAACTTAAGAGTGTTTTATAAAGGGTGGCAATATTGCTATTCCTCTTTGATGAGTGTGCAAATCAGGCACAGAATGCACCTCAGTAAAAAAAATGAAAAACACCACGGAAAATGCAGTGGGTTGTTTTTTTTTCTTTTCTTGAGGAAGGGGGGGATATTACTCTTTTTCACAGATATGCACAAAATACAACTCCTCAAAGTCTTTACCAAAGCAAAATGATTTCATAACATAGGCATTTAAGATATTTTGAAATCACAGAAATGAAAATGCCATTTTAAACCACCTGAAGACCAAAGCGAGACCAAAATGCAGAGACTCGCCTCCTCAGCAGGACATTTCAGTGGCTGACGACATACTTCAGGGACCAACACAACCTGCCTATTGAACACTACCCAGAACTGAAGGTGCAGTCTCCAACTCCTAGGTGTGCCCTATCTGAAGGGTCACCTCTTTGTGTATACAAAAGCCAAAACTCAACAGCACACTTAGTCCGGAGCCACCAACCAAAATTTCCATACTGTACTTTCTACCAAGTTTTAAGAAAATCTGCTTCCTTCTTGCTTGCAGTCTGAAATAAGCTGAATTTGGTTAATTTACAGGCATGCCACAAAGGACATGTTTGAATGAGGACAAGAATAAGTGTGTCTCAATGTATATTTCCTGTTAAAAAAAAAAAGATATAGTAACAATACTGTAAAATTCCAGTCACTTGTTAAACATTAGATTGCCTAGGGCCATGGATAAGCATCTCCAACTACTTGCAAGACAAGCGTGAGCCTAAAGTTGAAAAATCCTGCTGTACAACAAGGCTATAAATAGTCTACAGTGAAACATTGATAGAAATAGTCTTACTATTAAAACTATTTTTACAGGACGTAAGGTTACTTTACTTTTTGCAAGGCTATTAACGATTGCATTTAAAAAGAACAATAAGGCACTGGCATTACTTTAGATTACTGAAAAGAAATGCCTCAGTTCAAAATTTATGCAGGAGGTGAGAAATAACTTACACTGCAAATAACATAACTTACCTAAACGAACCATCCAGATTTGCCCTATGAATGAAACTCAGTTTTGCATCAGCCCAGTAAAGTTTCTGCTCATCAAGATCTATCGTGAGTCCATTTGGCCAGTAAATATCTGAATTGACAATTATTTTTCGTGTGCTGCTGTCCATTCCTGCCCGTTCTATTCTGGGTGTTTCACCCCAGTCAGTCCAATACATGTATCTGAAAAGGAAAGCAGAGATGCACACAGATCAAATCACAATACAAGGTGGTTAGGTTTAGGAACAGAAGGGATAAAGTATTTGTAGAATCATAGAATTGTGGAAGGGTTTAGGGTTGGAAGGGACCTTAAAGCTCATACAGTTCCAGCCCCCTGCCATGGGCAGGGACACCTTTTGCTAGACCAGGTTGCTCCAAGCCCTGTCCAACCTGGCCTTGAACACTTCCAGAGATGGAGCAGCCACAGCTTAATGTAAATCAAGCCACAGCTTCAGAGGATGCAAAAAAAAGTCCTTCATAAGACCATCTCTCGCAAGCATTGCCTCTGCATAGTGTATTCCCCTTCCTTTCCAATGTTGGACAGCACCTGACTGTCATAAGCATTTACAACTAAGCAACACCATTACACATTCTTGCACAGCCAGTTACTACAAGTTAATATTCTAAACCACATCTGAAGCAACTAATCACCAATCCAAGCAGGCACTGACCATAGCTGAACCTCCTTTTGCAAGTCTGTATGCAGAAAAGAATTAGAATCATAGTTCGGATTGGAAAGGACCTTAAGATCATCTAGTTCCAACCTCCCTGCCATGGGCAGGGACACTTCACATGACCACATCACCCCAAGACTCCATCCAACCTGGCCTTGAACAATGCCAGGGATGGAGACAAGCCAAGAGCCCTGACATCTGTTTCTGACAATAAGTAACTGATGAATCCATGCAGACTTAGAATGTCACTCTTTTAAATTTTGGGTGCTTTCCCCCCACCTCCCATCCATGTCCCAGTTTGCCTTTGTAATAAAAAGATGCTCCTGTAAAATGCAGTAGCCCAGTAGCTGCTTCACATGCAGCTGGGGCCATCATTCCAGGCAAGGAAGAATAGGCAGCTGTACTGTTATTCCCAGCACGTCATTCACAGCTCAGGCTTAAAATGCTCTGGTGGCCATATACATACGGCACCCCGATTCAGCTGTACCTCCAGTTCCAGCACCTATTTAGACCATTCTGGTCATAGCAGCATATATGATCATTAGCATGTTTATCCCAATGAAGAGGAGAATATAGATGAAAATACAGACAGATGGACAGGCAGATAGAAATGACTCGCATCACAATAAACATACACTTGAGTGTGGGAGGGTAAAACAAGGAGTTTTCTAGTTGAAATGGCAAAGCTTCCATACAGATGAGTCCTCAGACTTCTGAGACAGCTCACCTCATAGTGGCTGCAGCGGACTTGTGTCCCCAGATGCCTTCCCCAAAACATGTCAGCTCCAGCAGCCAGGATAGACTGACTGCTCCTGAAGAAGCGGCAGCAGTCGCTGAGCTGCCCCAGTTCACAGGACAACCTATAAATATAAATTGCCGCTCATTTTGGTTTTCCTTAACAAGTCAGGCTGTAATTTGTGGCAGCTCAAACTCTGTGGGGAAGCAGCTATTGACAAACAACAGAAGCCAGGGAAAAGCAGACATAAAAGAAACTGTCTATGCAACCAGCTAGTGAATCAGACTGTGAACCGGATCTGGCCAAATACTCATTTTTGATCAAGTCAAATCAGTTCCCTGCTCTGACCCACTTGCACTAGCTTGAAACATTCAAAGGGCACACTGAGCCACCTCTAAAGAAATGAAAATATTGAATTAAGAAAAACCTGATTATTAAACCTGATTATTAAAGGTGACTTTGGGCTGTATTACATGGCTATGACAGTCTCACACCTATACATATATTGAAATGTATAAATGCAGACTAAAAAGGAGCTTAAACCAAAATCAAAACTCCCATGACAGTTGTTTAAAAGCAAAAACAGAGGAGACAGAACTAGCTAAGTCAAATTAAACCTTAGAGGCAGGTTAAAATAAAAAGGATTAAAAAAAAAATCCCCCAAATTACCCTTCAAGCTAAATTCCTTTCTTCAAGCTTCTTACTAAAATAGCAGCCTGCCCCAAAGCATAATGCATTTAGGTGACAGAAAAGGGGAAAAAAAGTAGGTAAGCCAAACAGCCCTCATAGCTTTTCCATGATACTAAAGGAGCTCTATCTCAAGAGCCCCTTCCCCCCTAAAAAACCCCATTGCTTAATTTCATAGGTGATTGTTGCATAACCTTGGCCACGCAGAGGCTGCTGGACAACAGTAGTACTTTCAACTTCACACATTAATTTGCCACAGGAAAATTACATTCCTGCATTTTAGTTCGCTAACAGATACCAAGCTCAATCCTTACCGAAGCCTGGTCATTCAGAAGTTTAAAAGTATACAGTATTAGCAAAGTAACTGTACCACTAAGGAAGGCTAGCAGAATAAAGATGAATTCAGACAAGAAGTAGATCAATCTGAATGTAGGCAGCGTTCTTTCAAAGCACTCCTCTCCCAGCCGGACTTCTTTAATGCAACGTATAAAAGATTATTTTTACTCTGTCACCACCTTGTCCTGGTTGCAGTGTTTCTCTGCAGTCCTGCAAGTATCATAAAGCTGATCTTCCTGGTGAACTTTGTTTCAGAGTATGACGAGTCTCTGCAGTAATCAAACACCTACTGAAGTAATAGTTTTGTTCCCTCAGGTGCTACAAAGAACCCCTGTGGTCTATCACGGGAAAGCATGCCAAGCAATGGAATGGCAGGAGCAATTCTTGTCTCCATTTAACCCCTTCCCCTTTTCCAACAGCTTTCCACTTTCCTGGCAAGCAGCAGGTGCTGAATTGCCATGAAATACAGAATATCAGGTCTGGTTTACATGAATTATATGAACTATAGCGTATCAGTTCTCTTAACACAAGACCCCAAACTGGGAGTTTCAGTATCACTGTAAGAAGAGATCAGCTGTACCTGGAGCAGAAGTGGGAGTCTCTGGTCTATGTAAGCCTATTTAAAACCACACCACTTATCTTCTCCAGGCTGAAGAAGCCAAGCACTCTCAGCCTGTCTCCGTAGCAAAGGTGCTCCAGCCCTTGAAGCATCTTCATGGCCTCTTCTGGACTTGCTTGAGCAGGTCCATGTCCCTCTTATGTCAATTCATTCTCAATCCAAGAACAAATACAACCCAGCTTGTGTTTGTCCTTGGTATTGTCCTGGCCCAGGTGCAGGACCTTGCACTTGGCCTTTTTCAGCTCCATAAGGTTTGTACCATCCCACCTCTCCAGCCTGTCCAGGTCCCTCTGGATCCCATCCCTTCCCTCCAGCATGTCAACCGCACCACACAGCCTGGTGCTATCAGCAAACTTGCTGAGAGTGCACTTGATCCCACTGTCCATGTCACTGACAAAGATGTTGAGCAGCACTGGTGTCAACACACTGACTCCTGAGGAGCAACCCTCAACACTGGCCTCCACGTGGCATCAAGCTGTTGACCACAACTATCTGAGTGCAATCATCTAGCCAATTCTTTATCCACTGAATGGTCCACCTGTCAAATCCATGCCTCTGCAACTTAGGCTGCAACCACACAGCTGAAACCACCTATGAAACTTCAACAGAGAAACAGGCATTAACTCCAGCTCCCTCTGAATAAGCCACTCACAAATTACAGCATTGGACTCTACAATTAGCTAGGGCCATCCTCTTCATCCTTCTTCTGCCACCATAACATCTAGGCTGTTCTGACAATTTTGGTTAATGCAAGGCACAACACAACATTGGACATCAGACTCTCATAAGCCATAAAACGTTACGTTTTAAATGCATGCCTGTATGGCATTGTCAAGAATGCACAAAGTCTGAAGCTTGCTTTTTTTTTTTTTACCCTCCTCTATTTTGAATGACAAAGCTAGTTCAAACCAAAGTAACTACAAACACCATCCTGGCTGTGACACCCTGCACCGAGATTCAGCTGAAGACCGAAATCTTTTGGGCAAGTTGGAGAAAAAAAGAAAAATCCACAGTTATTATGGAAAGAATGACACAAGTTCAGCTGAAGCAGCACTGCAAATGTAACTTGAATTTTCATACCTCAACATAAAAATTTTGGGGCCGGGAGAGCTTCTTTGATTTGAATAGTTACTAAGAGAAAGCCAAAGGCTTTATACCTACCCTTTAAGTTACCCATGGATCTGTTTAAGATAATAAGTCTTCTGTCAAAACTACTGAATGTGCTTGCACTATCCATGCTCATCAGAGAGCACACCGAACAGTGGAGAAATTATATATTCTAGTAAACTCAGGTAGTAGCCGTTATTACTTACACTTGGCATCTTCCAAATGCTCCCCGTGGCATAAGATCAATTGTTACACAAACACCAGATGGTTTTGGTTGGGGGGGGGGGGGGGGAGAACATGGCAAAAAACTCAGAATGGCATCTCAGAGTTAAAAAATTTAGTCTGCATACCATTTGTATGTAAGGAACTGATTTAAATTGAGCTGATTTAAATTTACCTGTTAAGATTACCTAATTCAGAAACTCGGAGTGGTAACAGGCATACTATTTCTGCAGAACAAAAGACCACCCATGCTCAATAGTCTCCATTTCTTACTGAGCTCAACAAGACCCAAACACTTTGAAATAGTCTAGACATCATCAGTGTTTCTGGGACAGCTGACAGTTTGGGATTGATTTTTTTGATTTTCAAATATAAACTTTTTTGCTGGTGTCAAGTACATTGGCAATCCCTATCATTTTTATTTCACTATTAAATATATATATATATATATATATATACACACACATATATATATATTTAGCCCAGGTAAATTCAGAAAAATTCAGCAGACTATGCAAGGAATCTCAGTCCAGTACTGCCTGTGATATTAAACACTCCCTGTTTTGGAAGCCTGTTTAAAAAAATGTAACACATGTATTTGGGTAGTTTATTTGCTTGATTTTGTTGCTGGTAGTGGTGTTTTTCAATGTACATTACACAGTTCTTAATATCCCTGGGCCAGGCCATACCATAACAGCTGTAAGCAGCTAGAAATATCAAAGCCAGTATTTGATGTCTTGGGACACATTAGATCAATCACATTTTTGGGAGTGAGATTTGGCATCCTGGGAGTTTTGCATCC